GACGAAAACCTTTCATGGAATATGCACATTGAAAAAATAGCCAAGAAAATCGCATCGGGCATTGGAGCAATTAAACGTTGTAGGCCTTTTGTTAATCGAACCACGCTTGAGTCCGTTTTCAATGTCTTAGTTCAACCGTACTTTAATTACTGCAGCGAGGTCTGGGGGCATTGTAACAAGGGTCTTTCGAATAAGCTCCAAAAGTTGCAAAACCGGGCTGCCCGTATTCTGACCTTCTCCAGTTATGACACAAGCGCTGATCCTCTTTTTGTGCAACTTAACTGGAGACGGTTAGATACTCAGCGACAAATACAAGTGGCCACCATGGTCTATAAATCTATACATGGTCTTGCGCCCGACTATCTTGGTTCTCTTTTCACTAAATATGATCCTCCATATAATCTAAGGAACTCTGAAAACAAACTAGCTGTTCCATTGCCCCGCACCAATTTCCTGAAAAATAGCTTTAGCTATAACGGTGCGGTTATCTGGAATAGCTTGTCCCCTGAATTGCGGCAAGCAAAATCACTTCAATCTTTTCGAAATGGTTGTCACAATTTCTTCGTCTGAATCGACAAAACGCACACGGCATCTATGTAAAGCAGAATTTCTTTATTTTTTTCTATTTCATTTTTAAATTTTAGATCATGTTTACATAGATTAAAGTAGATTGTAATTGTAATAATAGATTGTAATAATGTTATTATTTTATCTGATAGATTTACCGTGTGTAAATAAAAAATAAAGTTCAAAGTTCAAAAAGTTCAAAAGTTCAACTACCGAATTCATGAATTCGATTGGCTGAAATCAGTATTGAAAGCAGTCTAGATTTTCCCATCTAGACCGGCATCTAGACCGGTCTAGAAGAAAAAAGGTACAAAGAATATTAAAAATTGGCATATAAGACACAGCCATATAATAAACATCTTATTAACCGAGCTAGGTAGGTCTGTATGGGAGAATCTTGACCTCGGTCGCTGGTACAGACCTCACTGCGTTCGGTCTGTACTGGCGACCTCGGTCAAGATTCTCACATACAGACCTCCCGCTCGGTACCGGTTAATGAGAGCTAAATAATCCCTTCGACTTCTCGGGGATTATTCGACGATATTCACCTCGCCTTCGGCGAATAATTGTTTAAATATCCTTCTAGAGCAGGGAACCTACCCTCAAATATTTTAGCTAAGAGCGACTAGCATCTTATTTCTCTTTGCAGTGATAATACGCTGAATCATTCCAAGATCATGAGAATAAAGGAAAGATCGCCGTTCTAAGAAGCTTTATAATTCTAAGAATTCTTCTTGTCAGTTCCATAGGAAATGTATAGAGAATATTGAGAATATGGATACTGATGTTAAGATGTAAAGATAAAATTTTCCATTCAGTACCATACGAAACGACAAGAGAGGTAAAGCCGAGTCTAAACGAGTCCTGCCGAAGTCTTGCCGAAGTTTTTGTGAGCCTGCAGGCCACACGTGAAATCGAGGTTGACAGTTATCAATTTTTTTTGTCAGTTTCCCGCTCAAAGCACATGCCCGTTAGAAGCCTCGATCATCATGGCGGACAAACTAGAATCATCCGAACTTAAATCTGAGGCGAAAGAAAAGGTAAAGGTCGACGATAATCTCTTCCGTTCTCTCTACCAGAACTTAAAGTTTTCATATTAGGTGAAAAGGAACCGTGCAGCTCATCTCCCTTTTGTTCGTCTTCTGCTATATTAGGATGAAAAGTCAAACAATGTGGAAGCCGAGGATTCGAAGCAAGACTCAAATAATGGTGAAGGTGAAGACGACGAGGAGTCAAGCGGAGAAAAGGAACGTGCAGGTAGTTTTATTTCGATTATAAGGCGTCAAAAAAGTTTAAGCTATCGTGTAAACGTGCTCTGTTATTCGCTAATATAATGACTACTATGATCTATAGTAAACACTGATGATTTCTCAGACAAAACACGATCGTGAAATTTACATTTATACTAACCGACAGACATTTGGACGTTTCTTTTGTTAGTTACCCGTATACTAGTTACGATCGCTTCCTTGCATGATACTGAAGCAGTGTATGAATTCTTAGCTGTAACTATTGCAAAGATATTACAACAGGGAGCCCACGTCAGAAATATAGTTTCCAGATGGGCCCAGGAAGATATAATGGCTTAGATCTTGTTGTATATCTACAGTATCATAGATCGATGTCTAACTGGACGAACTTAAGGCGATCAAGGGCAATGATAGCTATTATTATAAATGGCAAGCAAAGTTTGATTATATTGCCTTAAATTACCTGTTAAATGCATGGCTAGCCTTTTATGCCTGTTTCAGAGACTGGTAAATGTTCTTTGCTTTAAACCTCTTACTCTCATGAGTGACCAAGATAGAATCTTTCTTTACAACATCAATACAAAATCAACACAAGTGGTGAAAATAAACAAAATTGTCAATAAGGGGATTGTTAGTTGATCCAATACCAAATTATCCAAACTAACATTGTAAGCATTGTACGGCAGACAGTAAAGAAAATTACTGATGAAATATTGGGAGTGAAAGGGTTAGGTACTTTTCAGTGTTTGCCCTTTGAATTCTTTAAAGTACTAATACTGTTGGAAAAACCATGATGTAGCACACAAGGCTGTGCTCTAAGGAAAATTGAATGGAGCCCAATGCATTGAAACCATGAAATCCAGGGTGCCCAGCATATGCTTTGTATGAAAAAACTAAAATTCCTGAGTCGTCCAAGAGCAAAAGTAAGGCGCCAGGGGCCACCAGGCGCTGCTAGTCACCACAGCCTTGATCATAGCTGTTTAGCAAACAAATACTGATCTCAGTTATCTCTCTAGGACTTTTTGACAAGCCAGTTGTTATTGAAGGAAAAAGAGCAAGGAAATCAACAGAATTTCTTCTTAATCAGACCGCACCAACAATTATCAAAGAGAACAAGCCTCTTATCTTAGAGGTAAAGCAAGTTAAATTGATTTGTGATTCTTGTAAATGCTCATTATAGGGTTTATTGGCTAGAAGAGATGGTACTTATGGAAGTTGACTTGTTTGAGTTCATAGAAACACTTTTCTTTAATTTCCAGAGATGATTATCTTGCCTCTTTTCCTAATAAGTTCAAAATATTTTCAATACCTGATGGTGAGAGATAAGTACATTAGGGAGAGGGTGTTAAATTTGTCTTGGCATAACACCAACTTCTCCTGACTTACGTCAAGTGCAGTATATGGCAATTAAATGAATCATTTGTGACCTCTCACACGAAAACGTTCCTAATGGTATCTGTTCGAACAGTAGGGACCTTAAGAAACCATGACGGCGACGGCAACAAGGACGTGGAAAAACGAGATCTAATTGGCAGAACAATAGCTCAGCACGTGCGTTTTGAAACTTTGTAGATCTCTTAGCCATCCTATGTAAAACAACATCGTGAAATCGCCAAAATTTGTGTCGTCTACGAACCGAAACCATGACGGCAAATTATTTTAATTTCCATTTGTAACTCAATGGCTACTTTATACGTCATGCTGAAGTTGAGCTGTGGCGCTGTACGAGACAGTAAGCTCCTGCAGCCATTTTTGAAATTCTAACTAAGAGTAGAAATTCATTTTTTAATCAAAGTCTTCCTTGGCGTCGCCGTCGTGGTTTCTTAAAGTCCCTAGTGAACGGAACAGCAAGCGAACAGGTGATGACCGGCTAGGAAAGCCGTTGGAAACGGATACTGTGAACGGATTAATGGCTAATTAAAATTTTCGAATGGATGAGGTCAAACGGATGAATGGCTAGTGAAAATTTTCGAATGGACGAGGTCAAACGGATGAACAGCTAATTAAAATTTTTGGACGGATGAAGTCGAACGGATGAATGGCTAATTAAAATTTTTGAACGGATTAGGTCGAATGGATGAATGGCTAATGAAAATTATTGAACAGATGAACGGCTAATTTTTCGAACAGATGAGCCTCACAAATGAGATCGAATGGATAAATGGCTAAGCGGTCAAACAAGTGATCGCCTGTAGAAATTATTTGAACAGATGGTTTCATCAAAACGAATGCCGACACAGGCGTCCCAAGGTCTCCTCTTGAGCCAAAGCGAAGGATTATTTCATGAAAGCGTCGCGCGTTGGGTGACGTGGTGTTAAGTTATGCGAGGTATTTGACACAATCTGTGAAAAGATCACGAAACGAGTCGAAACTCAATTGTTTAAATAACTCAACTTCGCTTTCGACGCATTCAAATGGATTATCATATTTTTATTATTGAATTCGACTGATTAAGATAAGGTACACCCAAGGAACTTGCACACCAAAAGCATACAATTTGGTAGTTCTCAACTTCAATTCAGGTTTAAATTTCCATAATCCCAGCCGCCCTGTCAGTCCATAAAAAATGCCTTGCCTTGGTAACTGCTAACAACTTGTGTCAATTACCACCATTTCACACAATCTCAAAATGGAGAATCCAATGAGAGAAGATATGGATTGCCATCACACCAAAAATGTTTCTACCATCATTGCCAAAGTGCCAAGTGAACGGCTGATGAATTTTCTCGAACAGATAGCTCGAACCGTTCGAATGGATGATGAATATTCAAGAACGGATAACTGGAGGCTTTCAAACTGATTACGAATATTCAAGAATGGATAGCTAGAGGCGTTCGAACGGATGATGAAGTTTCTTGAACGGATAGCTCGAACGGATGATGAATATTCAAGAACGGATAGCTTGAGGCATTCAAACGGCATGCCAATCCATTAGAACGGCTGGTGAACGGCTATCCGTTTAAAAATGGCTAACCATTCGGAACGTTTTCCCGTGAGAGGTCACATTTATTAGTTTTGAGAAGTGAAACAAAATTGGACATAACTATTCTTATTTTAACATCTCTCCTATAGGGTAAGGGAGAGTCCCTAGGATCCATTGAAAGAAGTAAGTATAAGTATACATGTAATAGGAAGCTTGTGATTAATGCTGTTTTCCATTAAGGGAGAGTTGATAAGCTCACTAACAATGTCGTGTACTCGAGGAAGACCTGTTACAGTAAAACTCAATGTGCGAAAAACAATATTTGAATTCATGGATTGATCAGCTTGAAGTTAACTACATGTACATTGTCTCAGTTAAGCAGGTGGGATCACAGGCAGCCCAAGCTCTCTTTCAGAACCACACAAGGAACACAATTTACATATCGATTTATAAGGATTTGTATGGGATTTTCTACAAGATATCCATAGAGATAGTTAAAAGTGAAAATATTAAATAAAAATCGCTTACCTTATTCCATACATGTGTTGCTTGCTCCTGGTGTCGTTATTTTACTGATTTCACTTGATTTAAGCGGTTTTTTTTATTCCTGGTTTTCTCTTCTCATCGAAGAGAAAACCAGGAATAAAAAACGTTAAAATGTTCGTTAAAACGTTAAAATGTTTGTAAACCAAACGTTAAAATGTTTGTAGACATGCGAGTCCTTTTTAAACATGACACAAGGACCGTTGAAATCGGCTTGGTAACCTCTTCATGTTGACAAACCAAGACTTGTGGGGGTACTAGACCTCAACTTGTCAACAAAACTTCTTGTAAAACCCGGGGTCCCCTCAGGTTTAGTACCCCCGCGAGTCTTGGTTTGCCAACATGATGAGGTTACCAAGCCAATTTCAAAAGGACTTGGATGTCTAGAAACATTTCACTGAGGACACGAAGAGCTGCCTGGTGTCGATCACAGGGCTGAGATTGTGTGGCTAGAGAATTGAAATGAAAGGTCAACCTTTGCCCTTGAATTCTGCAGTGGATTTGTGGCCGTGGGTACATTTTAGCTCTGGATATTTTACTTCATTTGGGAGGCTGCCTAGACAGAAGTGTTCGGCCTTGTCTTCTCTTTAAGAGGAGAAAACCAGGATTTAAAAAAAAAAAACGATTAAATCAAGTGAAATCGGTAAAATAACGACACCAGGAGCAAGCAAGACATGTATGGAATAAGGTAAGCCATTTTTATTAAATATTTTCACTTTAAACTATCTCTATGGCTATCTTGTAGAAAATCCCATACAAATCCTTATAAATCGATATGCAAATTGTGTTCCTTGTGTGGTTCTCAAAGAGAGCTTGGGCCACCTGTGGTTAGATAAGTATTAGATATGTTCTTTTTAGAAGGGACTATATAAAGTGGACTGCAAATTAATGCTGTAAATCAACATTTACCCATTACACCTTCACATCAATATGTATATTCTCCATACTGTTCTCTATACATTTCCTTTGGTGCTGACAAGGAGAATTTGTTCAACAATCATAGCGTCTTAGGTTGGCAATCATTTTTTTTTTTTAAATTCTCATGACCCCAGTGAATGACTTAGCTGTATTGCTCTAGGGAGAAATTAGATGCTAGTCACTTGTAGGGGTTGAGGGTTTTCAGGGCTTGACACTAACCTTTCAACCTACTAGCCAAACTGGCTAGTAGAAATAAAAAACAACAAGCAAAAACTGAGTTTCTACTAAATAATTTGGATATATCAACAAAGTTGAAATGGTAAATTGGCCACCATAATGATTACAAAATTCGCTCCGACAAAGGGCTAACGCTTGAAACATCAGCTTTTGTAATCGTTACAGTGGCCAATTTACCATTTCAACTTTGTTGATATATCCAAATTATTTCATTACCCCCGCCGACGCAGCCCCAAAAAGTTTCTTTAGAAACTATCAGCCTTTATGAATTTCTACTAGTCTGGCTAGTTGGCTACTATCAGTGGCGAGCCCTGGGTTTTTATGATGCTGGTAACAAACTTGTTCCAAGATATGTTTGTTGTTTTTATTCAGCAAAATATGAACTTGGAAGATCTTCTGTAGGAGAGCTGAAACCTCTTCATAAGCTTTTTTATGGAAGAGAAGGAAGGGTATGCTGCAATCAATTTGCTCTAAATTTCATTTTGTGGATGGTTTTTATTATTCAAGGTTCATACAGGTCCTGGAAAACCTGGAAAGTCGTAGGAAGTCTGGGAAATCTGCTTAAATGAAGCAATAAAGTTTTCAGAATCAACATTGTAATAATTGTATTCAGACTGCAAGGAGAATTGATTTTGAAATCATGGGAATGGAAGGGTTTAAGGTGAAATTTGGAGTCTTGGAAAAATCTATTTGAGTCCTGGAAAAGTCCCAGAAAAGTCCTTGAAATTTGTTCTGAAAAAAAGGGGACAAACTCTTTTTATTGTAGTTTGAACTACTGTGTGATTGATAAGAAGTTGCTGTTAATACCAAATTAACCCTTTCAATCCCAGATCGTATTAGTTGAGAGAATTTGGTGTAATCCCTAAAATGATAGTTTTCATTCTCGTCTGCTGTACGTAGTTTTGATGTTGTAAGAATTTTTGTCTTTGTCACTTGTGGGAGTTAAAGTGTTAAGACCTCACTAAACTTGAGATAATTATGAGTTTTTTACACTTCATTAGGTGACAGAAGTAAAAAGGAATGTTAGGAAGTTTAATGGATTTGCATTTCAAAAGGTAAGTTGAGGTGCATTTAGTATAGTAACTGAAACTTTTTGAAAAGAAAAATTACAATGCAATGAGTTTTGATTTTTCCTAATTCTCTCTTCTCACATGGATAGGATTCTAAAGAATATGAAGCTAAAAAGCTTGGTGTAGAAAGGTGATGCTTGATTTAGATCTTTTCTGTATGGTACCAATACAACAATCATGTTGTTATACCAGGCTAAACATGATTTACGGTAGATGTATATGGTAGAAGGACCTTGTATTTGAGAAAGGTCTGTCAGCTACCAACATTTCTATGATATTTCCCTTGTATGTTTTTTCCTACAGATTTACAAATGATGGTCTAAAAAGACTTTGTGAAATTTTTGACGTGGATAAGAAGGGAAAGAGGGTATGCCAACCCATAATATTAATTTATTAATAGAATACAAGTCAATAATTATTTTGTACCTGGAGTCTCGCAGATTCTTTGGTGTTGATTCAATATATTTGTGAATAAATTTCAGAGTGATCTTGTAGAAAAAGTAATGGATTTTCTCATGTCACCAAAATCATCAGAAAAAGTGAGTTTTCATTTTATTTTCTTGAATTGACGGTGTATTCTGAGTTTTACAATTCTTTTACTAATTTTAGCCAGGGTTCTCATTAATTTATGGAGTATACGGCTTGCTTCATGAAGTAGATGGTTGACACCAATTTATCTTCATTACTCTTTTCAACCCACACGCACATTATTTCACGAAAAAGTAGGCAGCTCAAAAGTCGAAGTAGCCAGTACTTGAGCCAGCTGCCTGCACTTAATGAGACCCCTCTTTAATTGGCCAAAGACACATCATAGCTACCTTGTTTATTTCACACATGTGTAGAGCAAAGACTTGTGACAAATACACGTTTTTCAAGTGTTTTCCCAAGAATTAAATGTTTATCTATCTTTTTTGCACAGCAACACATGCAATGCAGAGCTTGTTTTTATTCATGAATGATGTTATTAATGCTGATATTATTACGATATTAATGCTATTAATGATATTAATAGCTGATATTAATGCTATTAATGATATTAATAGCTGATATTAATGCTATTAATGATATTATTATGATATTATTATGATATTAATGCTGATATTATTATGATATTAATGCTGATATTATGATGATATTAATGCTGCTCAATTTTTTGACAGTCAGCACCTGAGCCTGAAGCAAAAAAGGATGAAAAGAAGAAGAGAAAAAGACCAGAAAAGGGTAAGCCTTTGATAATATTGGCAAAGAGAGTATCACCATGTATTATTTCAATTTCCAATGTCAGACTGATTGGAGATTTGCATTTTTTAAACACCTGCAAGTTTAATCAAATGACCTTGTCTTTTTTTTATTGTTGCAGAGGGCAGCTCAAAAAGTAAAAAAGAAAAGGTATGTTCTTGGATTATAATTTGTGACCGGGCACAGGATTTCGTACACTAACGCTTTTTCATTAAACGGTTGAAAATAAACGGTTTGTAAACGGATAATAAACGGGTAGTAAGAGTGTTTAAACGGTTTACATATCCATTTAAACGGATAGTCCAAAGCGTTAAACGGTAGAGCAAAGTCCAAAAATGGATTCAGTCAACCGTTAAACGGCCGAGAAAAAAAATAAACAGATGGCTTAAAACGTTAAACGGTTGAACAGGATCTATTAATGGATAGCCTAAAACGTAAAACGGATGGACAAAACCCTTGAACGGATCAGGAGGGCTATAGAACAGTGGGATAAGCCATGCACGTAACTAACAGAAACCGTTGCGAACAATTATAATATTGTTCTTGCGGAACACTGATGTTTCATGCTAAACA